ATCACACACGGAATACTAGTAGAATAGTAATAGAGATGATAGTTTGACTTGTCAACTGAAATTCTAAAGTAACTGAATAGGCCTAAGTGGAATTTTGACAAGAAGAAAACTATATATAAATAGTGTTTATGATATACTTGTAATCTCTATAGTGTGAAGACTGTTGTACATACGTTTAGCCTGTTCCAAATATATATATATATTATTTAAAAACAAGTAAAGTGTGTGCTGTTTATTCATCGTTAAATTTATTGCTAACAAGTTACAGACACCTACTGTAGAAGAATCCTATCCCCAACAAGAACATAGTATATATTTATACTATAAAGAAATATAAGTAAAAGCCATTTATTTCGACAACTAGCAAAAAGAAGAAATTGTATATATATATATTTTAAATCTGATGATAATGATAGATTAAATGTATAAGGAGCTGCTAAAAGCAGTCTCCATGCTGCTAAAGGCAGCTGAATCTAGGTGTGTCTGGGGGCCTGCCCTCACAGAAAATTAATGCAAAAAAAATAACTTACAGTTGGTATACAAGGTAAATATGTAAAAGTGGGGGTGATATGCCTCTAGGTAAATATCCTTTCTTAAATATACTGTACACAGTACTCGAAGTGAGATTTAACTAGTAATTTATTGAGAGAAAATTACCCTTTTAATATGTAATCAATGCATATAAATACACAGTAAAATCTTATTAGCTTTACTTCTAGCAACTGAACATTGCTTAGATGGCCAGATCCAACTTGTAATAACCCAGATGCAATACTTTGCACTTAATATAATTATGGCCAACTGATCCAAGTCATCCTAAATACCTTAAAATCCTCAATACAGCTGTAAATACCCAACTATTTAAGGCCAAGGAAACATGATATGATTGGCTTTCATCCAAACTTTGAAGTATTCGAGCAGCTGGAAGGCACATTTGTAATTTTACTTTTTCTTGCTTATCCTAATGTTATGCATTAAAATACTGGTAAAAAAAAGCTGTGTGCTTCAATGTGCAAACATTTTTGTTTTCAAAAATGTTGGATTACAACATCACCTGATAGCAATTTAATCTGTTCATTGGTCACAGCACTATTGGTTACTTAAGGTACAGCAAATAACAAGAGGGAATCATCAATAGCCATGGTACTCGAAATTCTTTTAGGCATGATTAACGTAAATTAATCTATAAAACCTCGGAAATGGTCAAATAAATCAATCGAAAGAGTAACAATTTGCTCATTCATCCAATCTTTAACCTCCTTCGACGTCCTTATGGAAATATCTGGTCCAGGAATCATATCAGTCTTTAAACTTACCAATTTTTTTCAACAAGTTCACAATTAATGTGATCATTTTGTTTCCATGTAGTAACTGTTCAGAATGAGGAATAATTTTAAATATTCATTAGTAAAAGCTGAAGAAAAAGACCATTTAGTAACCCATAATTCTCATAATAATTAGAAATGAGCATTCCTTCATGAGCCCTACTCCTAACCTAAGATTTTGCTTACCCTTAAAAGTTAAATGTATTTAAAGGAATCCTTACTCAAGTTATTGTTAAATTTTATATTTTCATTCAATCTTTTTTTTGTATTTCCTTTTCGATTTCCTAATGTCCTGTTTGACCAACTAGCTTGATCTTAATATAATCCTTTAAGTCAATTTATATTTCTTAAATTTATAAATCTTTCTTTAATTTTATCCAAGCTGGTTTCTTACTTGCACTGTTGCAGCCCCTTTTTTCTATAACTAGAGTATAAGCATGTGTATCTTGAATATATAACTATTTATCATTAAAAAATTTCCACATTTGATCAGTATGTCCAATTAATTTAGTTGCTCAATTCGAAACTTAACTAGTTCCCCCAAACCTATTGATGAGATTTTATCTTTTGTGTGGCATCTTAATCTTATCAAAAGGTTTTCAAAATCTAGCTTCCAAGTACAAAAAATCATCACCCTTCACTTTACCCATCAGAACAGTAACATAGTGTTAACTTATATTTTTTTAATTAGAGACGAATCCGATGTCACCATCGTATGGATCCAATGGCTTTGTGATCTGCTACCTTGAGTCTTAACTTATGCTTTTAATGCATGTCTGAAGTAAAACTATACTATTACTACGTTGGTATTAACTTAGGCCTACAATAGTATTAACTATAAATAAAATTGTTCACTTTTGCCCTAATATTAATATAACTTGAAATATAGAACATCAACTTCGACAGTTCAAATATCAAAAATGAGCAGACTGGTAGTGGTAAATTAAACTTTAAAGTTTTAAACTTCTAAAGTTAAAGTATACATACTTTATGAAGTGCTAAACATATATTAGTAGATCCTAGATGCAAACCAAAACAAACTCCAGCCATGACCACTGCTAACTAAGATTCCAAGCACATGGTATTATTTTAATCGTTGATAAAGAGACAAATAAGTTCTACACACAGTCAGATGCAGAATATTTGCACAATGACTTAGACAATTAAAAAATAAAAAAAACTGAAATTAAATCATGCATCGCGTTGATACTTTTTATCTCCTTATTTATTTCTATAAAGCTAAAAATAAAACCTGAATTATAAAAATTAAAATCTAAATTCAAATAAATGGGAGTATAATATAAAGAAAACTTTGATTATTAGAAAATTGAAAACTAAAATCGAAAAATATCCACTACCAATATTTTTTTAGGGATAAGTCTAATATGGCATTTTGCTAGATCATTTGAAAATCATTTTAATTTGCTCCTCTGAATATTTTTAAGGTGGCTTTGAGTAGTTTATTCCACTAATGCCAACGAGACAATTAATTTTAGCTAGCAGTAATATTAATAGAATTTTACGGTGTATTTATCGACATACTGATTACAGACCAAAAGGTGTGATTACATTGTTTCCTAAAAATCCAGGACCCGTCGCTATTGAATAGGATTTTTATTGCCAATTTCAAGATCTCTAAAGTCCCTAAGTAAAGTATATTATATTATATTTATTTATTGTTACTTTTATTAACATTATTCTGTTATTCCACAGTCAGTATATTTTTCGTCACTTTCAAGTTAACAACTTTTATAATACACTCTATAAATCACAGCGATTCACAACCTCGATAACTTCGCTCTCTACGTGTGCAAAACACACAGTAGCTCGAAACAGAATCGTAAATTACCCGAAACTCACAGTAACTACTGTTCGCTTTTTCATCCCCTGGCTTTTCTCTGCCAGGCTTATATTCTAACAAAGAGGCGTAACATAGAGATAATAATGGAAATATGGCAGACTCTTTATTATAGCAAAGAGTTCCCTCCGTGTTACACAGTTGTTCCTCTCTGGTCTACTCAAAACCCTATTGAAGTAGGCCACCATGTGTTCCTTTTCGCCCACTTTCTGAGACAGCACTCTTCCAATTCCGACATTACTAGCATCACAATCTAGTATGTG